AAAGCATTCTACCTGCACCTACAGGCCCACAATGGGAGACATAGGAAGGAGATGTGAGCCTACTCCACAGCCTAGATCTAAGTCCACCCAAGTCAGCCAATCTCAGACAAACCTAGAAGAATCACAGTCAACTCACAAGCCTGTGAGCAAGAATAGATGTGGTAAACCATTGAGACTTGGGATTATTTGTTATATAGAATAATTGCAACCTAACTATACAGAAATAATCTTGGGCCCTAATACTATATTGTGGTAAGAGCTAGGGTTTGGGGGCACCTAGATGGCTCTGTTAGTTAAGTACCTGAGTCTTGGCTTCAGCTCAGTTCATGATCTCAAGTCCTGAGACTGAGCCCTCATAGGGCTCCACACTTAGCATTGAGTCTGTTTGCCCTTCTCCCTCTGCTTTATCCCTGCTTCCAGCTCAGGCGAGCACCCACCCTCTCTGTCAAATCAATCTATCAATCTTTACCCCCACCCCCCCAAAAAGAGCTAGGGCTTGGATGAACTTGGAGTCTAGAGATTCTCTGGCCCCTGCCAAGCTTGTGTCTGGGTGTGTGTGGGGGTGGATGGTGTGCACACACGTCTATCTGTTTAACATGTTATGTTCAAAGATCTCTGGTATGACAATAGTTTAGAAACTCAGTTTTAAAATACTAAACTAGTGTGTAATGGTGATATTTGTGTACTTCTGCAGATGATGTGAAATTGAAAACATGTAACAAAGCTGCACCTTGGTTGGTCCCTAAAAGAGAATGAAAAAGAGGTGGGAATAGGTCCCCAATAAGAAATAACTGTTCTTTGGGAGCAGGAAAGAAAGGATAAAGTGTATATGATATTGCTGTATAATGTAGATCTACCCAGAATTCCCTGGTGTGGAGTCTTGCTAGAACCTATAGTTTCTAAATTAAAATTATATTTTATCCCTTCTACTGATTTTCTCTCTTCTGACCCATTTCTATACTTGTTATTTATTTTTTGACCCATTTCTATACTTAATAGAAAATATAATTCTCTCAATGCCAAGATCTTAACTAGGTATTAGTATAAATGAAATGTATACTCAAAAATAATTAAATGATTGTTATTATCCTCTCTTTGACCCCCCGATTAACCTAAGTCTGCTGGGGAGGATTGCTTTTCCACATCTGAAAAGAAAAAAAAAACACAGAATGTTGAGATCTCAATGAGTTTGAGAGTAAAGTTTTAGAGTGGGTCTTGCCTTTAGAAAAACTGTCTAACCTATTCTGTGGGGGAGGGGTGTGGAGTGAGGGTCGGGGGTGGAGAAATGGCCCTGGGAAAAGAAAGGAGAGAGAAGACTTTGAATATTCAGGTTCATTTCCAATTGGAGGAGGATGGCCAACCACAAATACATCTTTTCTATTCTTTCTGGGCTTTCTTTCATTCTTAGAAAAATTTTCCCTATTCTGCTTCCTTATCCATCTATAGTTTTATTTCCTGAAGTCTGAGGCATGAGTGTCCCTGTCAAAACTTCTCAAGTTCTGACTTTTTGACCATTCCATGTGGCTGTTTTATAAACATCTCAGAGTTAATATGTTCAACCATAGATCAGTTACCTCCCCCAACCTTCCTCATTAATTATTACCATTACTTGCCCAGTTACCTGAATGCCACCATTGACTCCTGCCTTTTCCCTTATTCCTCAAGGTCCAGTTCATGAGCAAATCATGTCTATTTCACTTCCAAATACATTTTCTTTAAAATGCCCATCTCAAAAAATAAATAAATAAAATAAAATAAAATAAATAAAATAAAATAATAAAATGCCCACCTCTTTCTAAATCCATCTACTACTCTCCACCTCTACTGCTACCAATCTAGCCAGCCTTCATCTGCTCTAGATTACAGTAGTTTGCTTGGCAGTTTCTATACTTCCATTTCTACTCTACCCCTTATATCTAATCTTCAAATAAAAGTCAGAATGATTAATCCTCTCATTAAAATCCATCTAAAATCCACTCAGAATAAATCTAATCTTTATAAAAGTTTATAAAACCCTCCATTGACATGGCTCATGATCATCACCATTTTTTCTCACTCATTCTGCTTCAAGAACACAGTGTTAGGGGATGTCCCTAACATTACACAACTTTGAAAAATTGCTGGTGATAGAATGTACTGTCACCCCTTTCTGGTCACCTAATACAGGCACTGCAGAAATGCCAAATAGCTTCATGTTCCAAGAAATGAATCACATAAGCCTTCTTGATTTGGGCCATTACATGCTTGATTTATTATGACACTGTAGAGGGCAATGCAATAGGAAATATCTGAGTGGAATCTGAGCTCTAGTTCTCAAGGTGCTGGTTAAGTAAGGTATATTCTTTGAAATTTTCTTTTTTTTTCTTTTTTTTAAATTTTTTTATTATTTATTTACGATAGTCATACAGAGAGAGAGAGAGAGGCAGAGACACAGGCAGAGGGAGAAGCAGGCTCCATGCACCGGGAGCCCGACGTGGGATTCGATCCCGGGTCTCCAGGATCGCGCCCTGGGCCAAAGGCAGGCGCCAAACCGCTGCGCCACCCAGGGATCCCTAACCACCTGTTCTTAAAGGCAAGTGTGGGCCTTCCCTCTTGCCTTTCTAGCCTTCCCAAATCACAGAATCAGAATCATATTTTTCAAGAGATTTTCTACTTTTTGGAGTGGTCTCTTCCAATAGATTAATTCTTGTTATTTATCCTGGGTCTTCAGTGTCTACCTTCCCGAATTCTGATATACATAACTGAATATTCTCAACCTCCCATTCCTTAACTATCGCAAAACTTAAAATGATATAGTTACTTTCTCTTAAGATATCATTTTGTTAGTCAATTATTTTTGTGGGTCAGAAATGAATCTATTATCACATTTCCAGTGGTCATTGTTTCTATGATCTGAGAGATGTAGAGGCTTTGTGTGCATCTGTGTATATAATTGAGCACATGGCCGAAAATTTATTCTTTCCCTGAGATCACAGTGAAATTAATGATTTCTGAAAAATCTTTCCTAGGTCTTAAGAAAAAGTATGAAAAAAAAAAAAAGGAAAAGAAAAAGTATGAAGCCACCTCAATATTGTCTTTCCTTTAAAAAACAAACTTGTGTCTCCACTCTGATATGTTTTTTTTTTTAATGTGTTGCTTTATTTCTGCTTCTTCCACTCTGATCTCTATGCTCTTCTGATAATGCCTTAATGTTTGTATTTAAAAATTGTCTTTATACTATGTCTCATAGAAGCTGTAGCTTTCTGAAATGGAGCATTTTGTTCTCTTCTTTGGTTGACAACTTACAGAATGAATGAGTTTTTATTTCCATTTAGCATTTGAGGAAAATGAATGAGTAAACTGGCAATTTTCTTTACAAATTGACTATGGGACTTCAACTATTACTCACAGTCCTTGAAACATTTACACATATATAAATAAGCATTGAAACTTATTAGTTTAATCTTATAAGCAGATTTATAATTTCCATTTGAATAGTATTTTATAAAGCAGTCGTTGATATGGATCATTTTGAAAATCCAATTAAATGTTAATAAAAGTAGACCTTATTTTGCAAGACAACCATTAAATTTTATTTAGGCAGTGTGAGCATTGTTAAATATCAAGTTCTTCCTTTGTGAAGTAACTTTTTTAGTGATAAAATGTCCTGCCATCAACTTGTATTTATTTAGGTATTTTAATCTAATAAATTGAATTATACAATGCAATTCATGGTAAGAGTTAAGGGAGCCATGACAATAGATTTATAATTTGCTTGGCATTGCAAGTAGATAGCATCAAATGCACAAGAAAAGTTAATATAATTTTATGACATCTACATCATTGTAATGAAAATAATAGTGAAGCCTGTTGGAAGCTGGACAGGATTACTTAATTTAGACAGTAGAAATTTTTCTTAGATGTCATTTAGGAGAGGAAAATAATTTTCTATTGTTATTTGTTAAATGAATTAAGAAAGAGCTTCCTATGCTTTATTTCAGTATATGCTGTAAAAAGAAATACCGTGTTGTGTGTTTTTTTGTTTGTTTGTTTGTTTGTTTGTTTTTACAATGTCACAGAGAGAACAGTTTATTTTAATTCTGGCAGCTCACGTGGACTAAAATCATATTAGATAAACTTTCCTTTTTGTTGACCTATGACAGCCTAAAAGCCAGGAGGGACAAACACACACACACAAACACACACACATACACACACACACACACACAAATGGTAAGTGCTATATACAGCACTATGGGATCCCTCATACTATACCTTGGACATGTAACTGCTGTAAATTTTTCTGGAGGGACATTTGGCAATTCACACCAATATATACAGCCATCAGTGCAATGATTCCACTTCTAAGTATTTATACTAAGAAAAAATGCAAAATATGTGTAAAGCTATGCATATCCACACCCACATATATTCATGAATATACCATGCATCATATTCATTCATGTTCATTAGTCCTAATAGTAAGTAGATTACCATAGCACACCCATACAATATGATAAAAGTTGATTATATATGTATGTGAGTTTTCTATGTAAAAATATTCTTTATTTTTAAAAAAGATTTTATTTATTCATGAGAGACACACACAGAGAGAGGCAGAGACACAGGCAGAGGGAGAAGCAGGCTCCATGCAGGGATCCCAATGCAGGACTCGATCTGGGGTCTCCAGGATCACACCCTGGGCTGAGGGCGGCGCTAAACCACTGAGCACCGCCGGGCTGCCCAAAATATTCTTTTTTTTTTATTTTAAGATTTTATTTATTCATTCACGAGAGACAAAGAGAGAGAGATAGAGGCAGAGACACAGGCAGAGGGAAAAGCAGCTCCCCGCAGGAAGCCGGACGTGGGACTCGAACCTGGGACTCCGGGACCACTCCCGAGCCAAAGGCAGACGCTCAACCTCCGAGCCACCTAGGCGTCCCATATTCTTTATCGATAAGTATTTGCACAAATATATGTATAGGCACGAATACATGTGTATGTCCATTTAGTACACTTACCTTTGGTAAGGAAGCTCGTGATCCTGAGCTCTGGGTGGTCATAGTCAGCACAGTAGTTATCCCCAAGGCTACCCTGGCGGGTGCAGCATCCATATTGATCCAGAATGAAACCCATGATAGAATAACAATCAGGAGGCTGGGAATGTACATCTGGATCAGATAGTATCCCATTTGTCGTTCCAGATGGAATCGCACTTCTATACACGTAAATTTTCCTAATTGTGAAACAAATGCAGCGGTTGGTAAAAACAGGTCTTTGTTATGACATCAAATGTCACATTTCTTCCCATATTTTGCCCTAAAATTTTCCATTCTGATGAAAAAGGATCCTAGAGCATGTATGCAAATTGATTTCTGAAAAATATTTTTCTTATTTTTCTGTTTAGCATCCGGAAGCAACATGAGGGTACACTTTCCAGGAAATAGTATGTAATCTTGTTGCTTCACATTTGGTTAGCACTTCATACTTTGAAAGTCCTCAGAAATCTGTCATTTCACTTGCTTCTAGCAATTGTTTCTGAGTCAGACCGGAAAAATGTCTATCCCTTACTCATTGGTTCTGTCTGGTACTTTTTAGTACTTATTGACAGCCAGGTGCTATTTGTTCCAGAGGCCTTTACATTTATTTATATAAAGGATAAATTCAATTGAAGATGAATAGCTCCTTAAATATAATTTATGTAAATTATCTTATGCATTAATAATTTGGAAACTGTTAATGCAAAAATAAGCAAAATATGTTATCTCTATTAATAAATTTGAACATAATTTAAAAGCACACTTACTAAAAAAACCTGAGATATATTTGTTCTATATATTTATGCCCAGTGTTTCTATTATGGTAAGTAATTAATAGAGGAATAAATTATGTCTTAATTAACCATTTTGTTGATATCTCTGCTTATCCTCTGGTTAAACTCCCTAATACCATGACCATGTTGTCTTTCCTTAAAATAATTGTTTATGTGAATAACCAAATTCTTGGTTTTATTTTCTCCTTATTCTAAGTATTTTAAGAAGGATAAGGTCAGTGAATTAACATGCTAATCTTTTTCTAAGTGGCATTCTCTGATCTAATTGTGAAAGAGAATCAAAGAGCACATCTAGGGAAATTGCTAGTGTATTTTTAGATAAGTTTCAGTGCAAAACTTCCAGGATTGTGACTTGAGCCATGTGCTATGTGATTCACGGGCACAACCACTGGCTGAAGGAATGGATGAGATTCTAGGGCTTAAAATTCCTAATAAAGTTTCAGAAACTCTGAGAAAGTCAGATCCCACTCCTAGATGTTTAGTGATCAGAAACACACATGCAAGTTCACTATGATTCTTTTATCAACTACATATGAAATGCCTAAAAATTATTGAAATACATGAATATACTTTAGATTTTTAAGATTCTATTAAAATACAAAATTTTTAAAATAATGAAATAGGGCAGGAATAATTTAAACATTTTCAAGATATCACTGTTAAATTATCGAAGTAATCTCAGGGCATCTGAGTCTCACAGTTGGTTGAGCATCCATATCTGAGTCTCAGATTGTGTCCTCAGGATCATGGAATTGAGCCGCGCATCAGACTCTACACTTGTTGTGGAGTCTGCTTAAGTTTCTCACTGTCTCTCCCTCTGCCTCTTCCCCCATTAACCATCCCCACCATCCCCTCTGGCTGGCTCATGGGCATGTGTGCATTCTCCCCCCCCCCTCTCTTTCTCAAGTAAATAAATACATAAAGCTTTAAAAAATTATTTTAAAATTATTCAAGTAATCCCATGATGAAATTAATAATTACTGACCATTTCTCATTTTGACTTATAAAGAGTGTTTTCATAGCTAACACTGGGAAGAAAAATAATGGCAATATATATATACACACACACACCATATGCATATGAGTGGCTCTAGAGAGAAAAATTAACAAGTTATACAAGTTCTGACATGGTAACACTAGTAAAATAAGACTGGAGCTTCTTTAAGCACATTTAGATTTTGACTCATTGTATTTTTTTTAATTTATTTAATTATTTATTTTACTTTTCAGACTTAAAGTTTATTTCTTTTAGGTGATTCAAAATTTATTTTGATTAATTTATTCATCTTTATACAAAGAAAAAAAACAAATGTATTCTAGTCTCAATTCTCCTTCAAACAAGAGACAATATAAAGAACATTACAATTCACTGATGAAAAGACAAATAATCCAATATAAAAATGGGCACATGATTGACTATTTTATGGCATTTGAGCTACTTATTTTTGATTGTCCATGATTTGCAATTAAAAGTATCCTGGCTGTGGAGTGACTGGGTGGCTCAATTGGTCAAACTTTGGACTCTTGATTTCAGCTCAGGTCATGATCTCAGGGTCATGATATCCAGCCACAAGTCCAGCTCCTTGCTTAACACAGAGTCCCCTTCAGATTCTCTCTCTTTCTGTCTATCTCTACCTCTCCCTCCCCGTCCTTCTTTGTCTTTCTCTAAAATAAATAAATAAATAAATAAATAAATAAATAATAAAATCGTTAAGAAAAAAGTATTCTGTCTGAGATAGATGAAGCAAGAAAGAAAGGAGAATCAAATTATTAAAATTAGGTATGAAAGAGGACATCACTACTCAGAGAAATAAAAGGATTATAAGGAAATATGAAAAACTGTATACCAACAAGTGGAATGTCTTAGATGAAATGGACAAATGTATAGAATGATACATATTACTAAAACTGACTCAAAAAGAAATAGAGAATCTGAATATGTGTAGAATGATACATATACTAAAACTGACTCAAGAAGAAATAGAGAAAAGTAAAGAGACTAAATTATTAATTTTAAAACTTTACACAAGGGACAACTAAAGACCACAAAGCTTCACTTGTGAATTCTGTTAAACTTTTAAAAAGAATTAATAACAGTCCTTCATAAACTCTTCCAGGATCTAGAGAGCAAGGAATAATTCCTAAGTCATTCAATGAACTCAGTATTACCCTGATAGTAAAACCAGACAAATATATCATAGGAAGAAAAAAATATATAGACAATTTCTCTTATGAATATACATATAAAAACTTCAGAAAAATACTAGCAAACTGAATACAGCAACATATGAAAAGAGCTATACATCATAACCAACTAGAATTTATCATGGAATGCAAGTAAGTTGGGCTTAACCTCCCAAGTCAATGTAATACACTGTATAAATAGAACAAAGACCTATAAAAACTATATGATCATCTCAATAGAAGTAAAACTGTCAAAAAACCAACAGTCTTTCATAACAAACACACACAACAAACTAGAAACAGAAAGTAATTTCCCCAACTTGATGCAGGGCATTTATAAAAAACTTATAGCTGATACTGTACTCAATGGTGAAAAGCTGAATGCTTTCCAAATAAATTCTGGAATGAGGCAAGAATGTCTTTTTGTACCACAACTATTAAACATTATACTTAGAAGGTCTAGCCAGGATATTAGGGCAACAATATAACTAAAAGGTTTAGATTAAGAATGAAGTAGTAAAACTATCTATAGGTGGAACATCACCTTGCATATAGAAAATCCTAAGGATTCACTAAGAATATCTTAGAACTGCTGAGCTCAGCAAGGTTATAGGCTACACTATCAGTATACAAAAATCAACCTTGTTTCTATACACTAGCAATAAACAATCAAAAAATTAAATTGAGCAAACAACTCCATTTACAATAGAACCAAATGAAATAAAATGCTTACAAATAGATTTGACAAAAGAAATGTAAGGCTTCTACACTAAAAAATGCAAAACACAGCTGAGCAAAATTAAAGAAAGTTGAAACAAATGGGAAATCATTCTGTAGTCATTAATTAGAAGACTAAATATAGCCAGATCAAACTATTTCCCATATTGCTCTACAAATTCATTGTAATTTCTATCAAAATTTCAACTCGCTTTTTTTAAAAAAAAGATTTTATTTATTCATGAGAGACACAGAGAGAGAGAGGCAGAGAGAGAGGCAGAAGGAGAAGCAGACTCCATACAGGAAGCCCAATGTGGGACTTGATCCCGGGACCACAGGATCACGACCTAGGCTGAAGGCAGATGCTCAACCATTGAGCACCCAGGGGTCCCAAGTTCTTGTACTTCAAATAACATTATTAAGAAAATGAAAAGACAACATATTAACTGGAAAAAGCATATGTAAATCAAAAATAGAAATAACTGACTTAGAAAATGGACAAGGGAGTCTAATGAACATTTGTTTTCCAGGAAGACATGCAAATATTAATAAACACATGAAAAGGTGCTCAGCATTACTCATTAGGGAAATACAAATCAAAACCACAATGAGATATTACTTCACTCACTAAAATGGCTATAATAAAGAAGATGAACAATAACAAGGGTTGGTTAGGATGTGGAGAAACTGGAATCCTCATTCATTGCTGGAAAGATTGTAAAAAGATGCGAATACTTTGAAAAACAGTTTGGCTGCATAGATTTACCTTATGATCCAACTTCCCAGTCCTAAATCTATACTCAAGATAAATGACATATATCCACTCCAAAACTTGTATGTGAGTGTTCATAAGTGGTCCAGAAGTTGGAAATACCCCAATGTCTAGCAACTGGTGAATGAATAAACAGAATGAGGATTACCCATACAATAGAGTACTAAATGGCAATAAAAAGGAATGAAGTATTGAAGTATGCTACCATAGGGATGAATCTCAAAAACATTCTTCTAAGTGAAAGAAAACTATCAAAAAGACCGCATATGGTTTCATTTATATAAAACATCCAGAAAATACAAAGCTATAGATACAGAAAGTTGATTAGTGATTGCCTGGAGCTGATAGTTGGGAAGGACTGCTAAAGGATATAAGGTTTATTTTTACAGGTGATAAAAGATTTCGAGATTATGGTGATGATTGCACACATATGCAAATATACTAAAAATTATTGAGCTGTATTCCTTAAACAAGTGAATTTTATAGTATGTAAATTATATCTCAATAGAGTTGTTTTTAAATAATTCTTCAGTTACAAGATGAACAAGGTCTGAGGATCTAATATAACACAGTGACTGTAATTGATAATGCTATACTGAGATTTGCTAATAGAGTAGAACATAAATATTCTCTCACACACAAAAGGTAAATATGTCAGGTGATGGATGTGTTAACTAACTTGATAGGTATCCTTTCACAGGGTATACATATATTAAATCATCAGGTTGTACACTGATTATCCTATTAATTTATGTAAGTTACACCTCAATAAAACTGGAGGACCAAAAAGCCTTCTTGCTGATACAGATCTAAAGGAAAAGTTTCCTACCTGTTTAGAGTAAATCTGCTCCTCCCAAGGAGGCAAGTTGTAATAGTCTCACATGTACAGATAAATTTTCCAGGTTCAAATCCACTTTTTACTTATTATTTTACTTAACAAGTATTTATTGAGCATCTACGTACTTCAACAGAGTGCAGAAACATAGAAACAGAAAGAATATATATAATCCTTGGCTTTAAAAACTTTTGGTAATAAGGGAAACAACCAATAAGTAAGCATATAAATTAAATATAAAATTTCAGACAGTGAAAGCAGTAAGTGGAAGGTGGGATGTTGAGTGTTTAACATATACTTGTTATAGAGACTCATTTGAGGACTGGCATTTGAGCAGTCTTGAAGTATGTGAGAATATTTGGTTTAGGATAATTTGGGGATAGAGTATGTATGTAGTATAGAAGTACTTATGTATAGGAGAGTATAAACAGAAAGAAGAGAAAGTACAAAGGCCCTGAAGCAGGAATCAGTGTGGCATATGTAAGAAAGCAAATCATGGTGGCCAAAATATAGCGTAAGAGGATGAGATAGAAAAGGATCTTGGGGAGACAGTCAAGGGATACCTCCAAGTTTGTGGTACTTTGTTACAGAAGCCCTAGGAAACTAATTCACCAACTTAAGCCAACTCTTGAGGCCTCTTGGCATCTAAAACTTGCTTGTCATTGTAACTGCCCCTAGGGAGTTGGGCAGGATACTGACTGATATTGACCTGTTCTCCCTTTATCTTTGTATTCAGATGTTAACTTTGAACTCACCATTAAATATCAGCCTCATCCCTGGGTTAAGAAAATGACAGTGACTTTTTCACCAGATCATGTGAATTGATTAAAGAGATAAAAAAGATTAAAGACCTTGTATAGTGAAAGGTCAGGTCAGAATCCTGGAAAATGATGAGCCAACGAGGAATCATAGTTACTGTAATGAAATAATAAAAGCTGCAGTTGATGATAGTGGGAGGCTGTGGACTAGCCACATTGGAGTGATGGCCCATTTATAGGTGATCGTTAACGGAATTTGTAGGAATAGGCTGGGCAGCAAGACTAGATATTATGAGAATAGCCCATGCTGGTTGAGAGAAGTGAACAGGTCTCATGAATGTGCAAATGTCACATTAAGTCTATCAATCCTTAATAACAATAACTTATCTCTATCCACAAAAGCAAAAGGCTACTGTGTCAATGTGAGTAGTAGGTACCTAAGTAACAATAACTTGAAATGCATGAGATTGTAGCCAAAAAGAGAATTAGACAAATGAAGCCTTAAAAACAACAACAACAACAACAACAAAAACCAGTTTCTTTCATTTTGTTATCAAACACAATGCATATTGCCCTAGAAAGGTAAACAGTACATTTTACTGCTCACACAGAAATGAAAGGAACTTGTTTTGGAAACATTATTCATATATAACTATGAGCTTTTCACACACACACAAAAGAACCCCAAAAAGATATAATTGAATATGAAGCATTTCTTTGAGCCTATACGAATCAATTATATAACAGTATGCATTGAGTCTAAGCATATGTAAGTTTCATATTCATTTTCTGCTCTCTGACCATGAAAAACACTGAGCTATAAATAGTTAAAATAATTAACCTACCACTATAATTAAGAAGCACTGAATATCATAAAACCAAAAGTCACAAGTGTAATAAATGATGCTCAACCCCTACCTGTGTTGTAATGTTTAGTGCAGTATCGTAAATCTTTCTCTTCTTTTAGCAGAAACTGGGGCAAAGTGAGTCCTTCGGCCACTTGTACAGGTGCCTCATCTTGCCATTCAAAAATGAGATCATTCATTGTGTACCCAACTAGGCAAAACATAATAAAAATATTTATAATATAAAAGGGCATTCAAAGAAATAAATTAAAAAAAAAAAAAGCTTGTACATTCCCAGGGGTGGAAAGACCAGTGTCATCTTAACTCAAAAGGCTGAGTTATGTGTCACACAATCCCATCTCACCAAATTCTGCTGAAGTTTATTCACATAGAATACTCATCAAATAATGTAAGAAAATGTAGCAGGATAATAAAAACCATAGCACGGCATATATAAACTTCAAAGGACATGCATATACAATCTTTCTTTGGAATGGGCAGCTACTGGATTAGTTCAAGAATTCATTTTGGTTCCATTCCATTGCTCACCTACTCTGAAATTATTCAGGGCTCTTAATAACAAAAGCTGAAATTGTTACTGGTTAGGAAAAGACCTAAATTATATCTGTGGGGAAAGTACCAAGGCTTTTATCTTTCTCGATTTAATCATTAACTATTTTAGTTCATGGCATCTGCTTCTTTGTTCCAAATCCCAAATGAACAAAATGATATCTTAGATAGAAATGTCAGCTATTCAGAGAAAATCAGAGGACAAAGAAAAATCCATGTGGAACAGTTTGTGGAGGAGGAAACCCTTGCACGTGCTATCAGTGAATTCAGGATAGAATTAGCTAACATATTTTGTAATAATAAATCAGCATCTTTTAGTAAATGGAAAAATTTGTATTTATATAGGAGAGGTATCCAAGAAAAGCAGGATCCCCCACCCCCAACCCCTGCATTAGAAGCTGCTGAAATGTACACTTAAAGTGTGCTGTAGAGAGGGAATCAAAAGTGAATGGAGCTTGTAGGGGGAGATTTTTTTTTCTTTTTCTTTTTCTTTTTTTTTTTTTTTTCTCTCTCCTGGGAATTCTGAGGTCCCAGGGAGGAGGAGATTTTTGTTACAGGTAGAGACAGAGAGAACATAGGATCTGGTGTTTGTTTGTTTTAAGATTTTCTTTATTAGAGAGAGAGAGAGCACAAGCAGGGGAAGCAGCAGGCAGAGGGAGAGGGAGAAGGAGGGGCCCCACTGAGCAGGGAACCCAGTTCAGGGCTCCATCCCAGGATTCCAGGATCATGACCTGAGCTAAAGGCAGACGCTTAACTGACTGAGCCACCCAGGAACCCCAGGATCTGGCGTTTGAACTCAGTCAAGTGGACAGATCAAGGAAGCAGAAGCTCTAGATTCATGAAGCAGAAAACAAAGGAAATTGTCCCAAACAAGTTATCCTGGAGGCAAGCTGGTATTGTAGGGAAGAGGCTGCTGAGTGATTAAAAACAGCTGGCACAAGCAGAATTGGCTGCACACAGCAATGTGTAGGGAAGGGAACTGATCATCCTCCCTTCTCCCACAATACCTGGCAAGGAATCTTCTAGAAAGAGCAGAATCAGAAGTAGCTGTGACAGTAGTGACTAGAGTCAGAGACTCAACTGCACCCACCTAAGCCTTGGGCGTAGTCAGCAGAATCTACTCCATTGGCAATGGGGAGGGATGGTGGTAGTAAAGCCATCAGTGATCAGAGCATCTCTTCATATTCTCTGGGAGTCAGCTGTTGAAGTTGCAGCACAGTACCATCAGAGTGATGGCTCCTTATGGTGCAATGACTATTTGGTAGATGTAAAGTCATCCAGATTGAAGGGGCATGTCTGAATTCTGGTTTCAGAATAGATACGGGAACCTCTGGGGCTATGTTTGACTCGCTTCTAGTGGAATACATTTCACTGAACCTTGCAATTAATGATTTGGTTGCTAATAATCAGAAGGATTTTCCTTGTATTCATAAGCCCTCTGATAAATCCATTATAAATGTCATTTTACCTAGGGAGAAAATAGATGCAATCTCTTAGGGATCTAAGGATGGTAAAATAGGCATCAATACTTATCTGCTTCCAGGTAAGACAAGTACCTATTCTTCCATACAATCACTAAGACAAAATATGTGAAATTTGTTTTGCCCCAATTTAGGCAGACCAATAGAGAAACTCCATTTTGTTTTTATATCCTGTTTTTTTTTTTGTTTGTTTGTTTGTTTGTTTGTTTGTTTTTTAGGGACTTCTGTGAAAAGAAACAAACTCTCTGAGATTCTCTCAAAGACAAGCTTTAGTCTCTAATGCCAATTTTAGGCAGTGTATTTAGCTTCCTGTGTTAAATAATCACCCACACCAGTTATTTAGGTATGGGAAACTCCTAATCAAAATATGCTACGGCCCCTAAAATGGCCCCTAAAATAGTTGTTTGAAGCCAAAAAGAATATAGTGAGATGGCATGTGTAAGGGGTAATTCTTTTGTTCTGAGTAATTTGCATGGATGTTCAAGGAAAATAACTAAATGGTAATTTTGTCTCCGTAAACCTTCAAACTAACCTAAAAAAAAAACCCTCAATACTCTTTTACACAGTTCAAAGTGTTTTAACATCCTTATGCTTTTGGTTGGCAGATCTTTATACAAGTCTGAGAATGTGAAGGAGAACAGATCAGCTAATGAGATCAAGGTGGTGAGTTGAACTGCCTTATACCATAATACATTTCACAACAAGAAATACTTTATTTGGGGAAGAAAGACAAACCCTAATTTCAGCCAACAATCCCATATGGTAATTGCAGTGAAACACATTAAACAAATGACTCAATGCAACCAAACATTTGTTTCTTCAAGTATTTATTGAGTACCAACCGCATATAATATATCCTACTAGGCTGCAGGGCCCAAGAAATGTTATTACAGGGTAGAAAATAAGTGGCATGGGAGGAGTACAAAGTGTTATGTGCATTGGGAAGAAAGAACTATGATACCCACTTAGGCCTCATTTGAAATGGACCTTGATGAAAGACAGCGGCTTCTTACAATGAATGTGAGAAAAGATAAGGTACTCAGGCAAAGAGAACAGTATAATTAGTTGAAAGAAACTGCAAATCCCTCGGGTATATAGAAGGAATAGAAATAGCTTCATTTGTCTAGGGCCAATTGGCATGAAGGAACATATGGAATGAGAAGATAAATTAATATAAGGTTGCGTGAATTTTAAATTCCAGGTTGAAAACTTTGATTTTTTAAAATTCCTTGTAGGCAATGATGAACAATTGGAGTCTTGAGCAGGGGAGTGACGTGACAGAAATTATGCTTTAGAAACTGTAGCATGAGATTCGCAAGATCCAAACCACTTCCATAATCAGAATGAGACATTTGCTTTTCTCATCATGTTGACATTTGCCCAGATGGTCAAACAACAATGGAAAGGTAAAACTTCAAGTGCTTTAGCGTAATTACAGACAGTGGCAACAAACTGTGTTGGTGCTTATTGTGTTCTTTACTGCCATATCTTGTAGTGCAGGAATAACAATGCGAATTTTAAGGAATGCCCATGATCCCTGATGAAACACTAACAATTATAATTTTATTAAATTTTGACCTTATATAAATGCTCTTTTAATATTCACTCTGTTGGGACACCCGGGTGGCTCAGTGGTTGAGCATCTATGCCTTTGGCTCAGGTTGTGATCCTAGGGTCATGGGATCAAGTCCCACCTCAGGCTCCCCAAAGGGAGCCTGCTTCTCCCTCTTCCTATATCTCTGCCTCTCTCTGTGTGTCTCTATTGAATAAATACATAAAACCTAAAAAAAAAAATTATCGGTCTTAAAGTGTACATGTAAAGTACTTCAGCTGCATATTTTATTATGATGATTCTTTTAAGGAAGAGAACTGGGGATGATTGATTTGCAAGTTAAATCAGTTTTTTTTTTAATGAAACACTATTTTTACTTGAAAAAAAAGATTAGCAAATTATGGTTATTATATATGGCAGACCATTTCTCAAAAATAAAGGAAATGAGCCTAGCATATTGAGGGAAACAACTGAGAATATTTATCAGCAATGATAGATTTTGAACTTTCAAGTCAAATTAGAGTTTTGAAGAAAATCATTTGCCCAATAAGTAATGATTTTTTGAGGAGCTTAATGGTGATATTAACAAAAGTGACCTTTCTGCCACTCCCACTGCCCCTCTCACTGCTCTTTCTCTCTCTAAAATTAATAAATTTTAAAAATTTAAGATGGTAGATATCATGCTAAGTGTAATCACAATACATACAGTAAATTAAATTTTTTAAAAAGTCATTTGCATTCTTGAGATGCCAAAGGAGAAAACTCTCATTCTTTTCCAGTGGTTGTTCAGAAATATAAGTCAGAGGCAAATTTCAGTAGCTCATTTTGTCAAAACTGGTGATTAAATATATATTTAAGGAAGAATAAGAAGTTGGAGCAACTGCAAAGTTTCAAGTCTAAGTCACTGACAGGTAGCTATGCCAGTCTATAGCTCATATCTCATGTCAATAGAGCATCCTTCTCTGTCTTATAAAATACCTTTTCTCCAATCAATCAGCATTAGTTTTTTTTTATTCTCTTTTCCTGTAGAATTTATCTTCACTTGACATTGTATATATTTGTCGTTTTTTTAATTTTAATTTTAATTTTTTAAAATTTATTCATCACACACACACACACACACAGAGAGAGAGAGAGAGGCAGAGACACAGTCAGAGGGGCAGGCTCCATGCAGGAAGCTTGACGTGGGCCTCGATCCTGGGTCTCCAGGATCAGGCCCTGGGCTGAAGGTGGCGCTAAACTGCTGAGCCACCCAGGGTGGCTTCATCAAGTTTTGAAGTATTTTTCTACCTAGATTCTAGGATTGAAACTTCATAAAAGCTGAGATTATTCCATTTTAGTCACTGGAATATTTTTCAGTACATAAAATATTATTTGCCATCTAGTAGGCTGTTTGAATATCTGAATTAGAAATAGAGAAGGAAGGAATACCTGCGTGGCTCAGTAGTTGAGTGTCTGTCTTTGGCTCAGGTCCTGGGATGGAGTCCCGCATCAGCTTCCCCACAGGAAGCCTGCTTCTCCTCTGCCTATGTCTCTGCCCCTCTCTGTGTCTCTCATGAATAAATAAATAAAATCTTAAAAAAGAAAAAAAAAGAAATAGAGAAGGGA